CAATCCATTCGTGTGATATCTTCACTTTCCAGTAGCTCTTGAACATTAGCAGTACGGTGTGGCCGGGCATTGTCATCCATAAAAATAAAGTCTGGTCCAATGGCCCCTCGGAACAGACGCACATGGGGTAGGATTACCTCATTGCAGTAGCGGTCTCCAGTTACAAAACCTCGGTCGAAGATCTGTAGCTCAGTTCGCCCGTTCAACATAATGCCACCCCAGACGACAACTCCAGGACCCCCGTAACAATCTCTTTCTGCGATGTTATTGGGGTGAAAGCGAGCTCCAACCGCTCTCCAGATCAACTGACATTGAGAATCGCTTGTAGCACTAAAACGACTCTCATCTGTGAAGAGGACGCGACTCATTTGATGAGGTGTCCAGGTTTCGTGTTTTCTGCACCACTCTAAACGGTGCCGCCGATGGCTAACTTTTAAAGGTATGCAGCGTTCAGGACATCTAGCAAATAAGCCACCTTTGTGGAGGCGTCTGGCCACTGTATATCTTGATACTTGTCGTCCTGTGGCTGTGCACAGTTGCTGAGATATGGCGCTCGCTGACTAAAAATGGCTTCTTTTCGCCTGGAGGACAATGTAACGGTCATCTTTTGGTGTTGTTTTCCTTGGACGGCCACCACCAACCTTCCGAACAGCTGTACCAGTAGTTTTAAAGGCATTTCAAGTACGAGAAACAACAGATTTTGTTGATCCCGAATGCTTCGGCGACACTGGTCACACTATGCCTCTCCTCAAGCTTCCCAATCATTCTTCCACAAGTAAAGTCGTCTAAATGATTTCTTGAAGACATGTTTCACAAGGCAAATCACTTGCACTTGCAGCGAATGTCTTATGGTGCTATGGTGCTCTTCATCCTTTTATCACAGCTTTGACCTGCGCGCGCCGACCCACAAGGTTTACGTACACTTACATCACCTACGACGTTTTATTTCTAAAATTTGCATACAAATAATCTTTCTACTGAATTACATGCATATTATACTGCAATTTCATGGCTATCTTATACTTTGTTGGGGAGCTGTGGCCGAAAAACCACTTGTTGCTTAAGTTTTGCACACCAGTGTAGATGGTGAGGAAGGGAATGATTGATGATATTTAAGACCAGACTCTTATTTCTCCTGACAGTCTAGGGAAGTAATGATTATTTCTAAAATGATGATAAACTAAGAATCTTTTAAAAAAGAAGGAAAAATCTTACAAGGGAAAAATTTTTTTTTTGAAAAATGGTGGGAAAATGTATAAAATTTTGTTCCGATTATCTGGTTTTTCCGGTTATCTGATTTCTGGATACAAGGTTCTCTACTGTATTTTAATTAATTAATAGTAAAGTAAAATATAACTTGTTTGTTTAAACCATTAAAAAAAATTATCATTTAAACTTTTTTTACAAAATTTATTTCGATTTAAAACCTTAAGAAAAAAAGAACCATTCACATTAGTAATATTTGTAGGACTTTAGATGCAATCACAATCAAGAAATAAACTATTTTACTGGTTTTCCTTCCTTCATAGGGTGACAGTTTATAAATCATTTATAGGCATTTATAGATTTTCTTTCATAACAGTGAAATCTACAGGTATTATGTGCTTTCATTGGTTGATAACCATTTATAGGTCAGACCCCACTTACAATAGGGCTTATTGTATACTTTCTGAAAAAAGAAACTATTACACTGGACAATCAATTTTTATTAGAGACTACTGATTAATAATTTAATTAATCCAATGTAAATAATCGAACATCCAAACTGTTCCATCTAGTAGTTTAGGAATTGCTTATCATGAATAGTTTCCACTTAAAAATTAAATCAGAGATAATACTGTTATCAAAAATAAAATAGATGTCTTAAATGGAATTGAAAAAAGGAAGAAAGAAAATTGCTAATAATTAGATTTGTTTTAAAATTATTTGTTTCTTATAAAAATTCTTTAGATTTGGAAAATTTCTGTAAAATCATAGAACCTGATTAGTAATTATATTGGAAAAAACCTTGTTGTCTAAGTTTGAATTAAAATCAATGCACTTATTGAGTGGAAAATTAAAATCATTTCTTTTGCCTAAAAGTTTAAAAGAAATTTATGTATTTTTATTAGTTCTAAGAGTTTAATCTTAAATAATTGCTGAAAGATTTAAAATACTATTTTTATTAAGTGAATGAATTTCACTTTGATAAATTTGTTTCGCTAAAATTATCAAAATTAATAACCAAAAGTTCATTAATAACGCTGAGAAAGTACAAATTTGTATGCAGAATAAGATTATCAGTCGACTTAATAAATCTATATTCTTGGAAAGAAGGAAAAAAAGATTGCAAATATTAGTGCTAAAATTATTCATTTATTACCCACATACAATTGTAAAGATAGTGAGAGAAATTATGAGTTTTATTTTAATGAAACTTATTTACTAATAAGCAATTTAACTAGAAATATCCCTCTCCCAAATATCCAAAAATCGATGCAAATATCTTCTAAGTCTATTTTATAGTTAAGAAACTGTAAAAAAATATTTTTAAAAAAGTATTCCCCCAAAATTAATGATTAAGGCTTGCCCCCTTACAGTGTGGTTTAAAGTCAATACTTGAGTGTAGATATTGATACTCTAATTTCTCTTCTTTCCATCTACTTTATTTTATTGTTTTGAAGATATTTTTAGGTTTTTAATGACCAATGTTAATGATTTAAATGCATTGGAAAATATTGACTGATTATTCCATACAAAATGTATGAAAATAGCACTTTATCCCCTGCTCATGATTTAAAGGACATCCTTTGGTCATATTTATATCAATTTACGAAAAAAAAAGTTATAAAAGTGCAATTTTTTAATAAATAAAAAAAAAAATTTCCTTTAATTATTTCCCTAGAATTGACTTTTGCTGTACTGTGATGCCACAATTGGCATTACATATTTATTTTCTAACCTTTTAAAATATCTTTCATTGCTTAAGCTTATTTTTATTAATAGAATTATATTTGAAACAAATCAAAGACTTAATCTTTTAAAACGAACATAAAATATTTATTCTTCTCTTATAGATCAATGTAACGGATACTTTTTATTTCATTACTAATGCAGACTTATTAATTCACTGTCGCCTCTAATCGAAAAAAAGATCTATTAATAACTTTTTATTCAAAATTTTTAACCACTAAATGTTTCAGTTGCATGGTTGTAATAATTCTCATAAATTTGTTGTCGACTTGTGATTGCCAAGGTGTTCTTTTAAACCCAATATTGATATGCTGGTTGGCTTTGTTTTGGCTTTGTTATGTTTTGATAATTTGCCAATTTTGGATCTCCTACCCATACTTTCTGTGTTCATTTGGAACAATTGTATTCACTTTTAATAAAAATTTGTGGCGACTAGGAGTGCCCTTTGGGTGCTCCTGTCCCAGCCGTCCTAACGGTTTTAAAGAATGCAATCGTAACGAAATGCTAACAAAACTTCTTAATGTGGAAGTTATATTTTCTGGATCCCTTTAAGAGATTTATTTTTGATAATTTGTTGTATTGATGGCCATTCTCTATAATCTTCAAAAATTATTGTTTAATAAATTGGATTTTTAAACGATTTATATATTGTTTCCTGGACATTATCATTTTTAGTATTTTCATAATCAAGATGTATTTTCGTATAGCCAAATGAAATCCATTATACAAATATTGGCGGCCACTGATGGAGAAAAACCTCCGCCATATGTATTTATATAAAAATTTGGTAATTTTATAAAAACTCTTCTAATTCTCATTTCTATTTGTTTCATATTTAAAGTAAGAAAAAATGTAATTTACTGATAATTTATTATCTTAGTAGCGTGATTTAATTGCAAAATCCTAGTAGTTCTTTTAATGCATGATAAATTTTAGTTTAAAAATACTGGAGTTTAGAATAGCATTCCAATAAATCTTCTAAGTAAATTTGACGTATTTCAGCTGCCAACATACAAGATATTATATTTAAAAGAAGTTTTAATCCCAGTTAATAAATGGAATAATTTCAGTTCTTGATTATAGAGAATAATTTAGATTGGTAGTCAACTTATAACTTGACAGTTTCACTTTATGGATAATTAGACGCCTTTAGTGTGACATTACGGGTTCAAACGGACTCTTCCAGGGAGTTAATACATGCATTTTCCTCTAGAGGGGAAAACAGTTGTTTTTTGTTTGCATTCTGCAAATGAAATATTTTATACAAAGCAATACGATGTATGTAATAAAGAATTTCAGTAACAGTTAGGAATCTATTATGTTTTGCTTCATTTACATTAAAAAAAAATATGTTTAAATATCTTGATTTATTTAGAATCTTATTTTATAGAAATTTCCATGGATAAATGCCCCTTTGCAAGTTGGACTTTGCGGCTTATTGTAAGTATCATATTTTGGCTATATAGTTTTATTTGGTTACATATTTGTAATAAGCTTGTTCCTTTTAAACTAAAATCTAAATAAGCTCTAAGCACATTTTAGTTTCTATCAAAAATTTTAATTAAGTTTGAAAAATATATTAAGAAAAATGTAAAAAATGTTTAAAAATTTGAAATGAAAACAAATTCAGAGATTTTAAAAAATAATATTGTACTTTTATTTGTGTTCAAGTTATTCATTGGCAAATGTTTCTGATGAAATTATGATTGCATGATGAGAATTAACGGACTTTGAAATTTTAATGGAGCTATTCGCGTGGATGGGGCATTCCATCTTGGAAATTGTGAGGGAATTTGACATTCCTTGACTATTGTGCCTTTAATAAATATTATCAGGCATAACCTCCCACAATGAACAACGTAGTGGTTGACTGTCTATGCTTGATGACTGAAACCATCAACTTGTGCATGGAATTGTCAGTGTTAACAAAGTGATATTGCTTGAAATAACTGCAAGTATCAATGTGAGGCATGAAATGAACGTGTCTGTTAGGAATATGTGGCGAAATTTGGTTCTAATTTGGTATGGTAACAGAAGGCTGACTCAAGTGCTTTTACTAATATCATGACATGTCCAGCGCCTTTCATGGGCTCATGACCAAATTCGTTGTACTCTAGACGATTGGAAAACTGTGATCAGATGTGTCATGATTTTAGTTTGTCAGAGCTTATGGGAGAGTTCGGGTGTGTCGCACACCCTTCAAAGCCATAGACCCAAATTGTCAACAAGACTCAGTGCAATCTGTTGGTGACTCCATAATGGTGTGGGAGGCTTTTTCATAGCAAAGACTGGGCCTTATGGTTTGATCCTTGACTGAAAATGGGTACAAGAACTGCAGACCTCCTATTTTTAGAATATATGTAGTGTTTTGATAATTTTTTTGGTAATTATTGTTTGCAATTTTTACTTGTTTTTCTTCTTTTTTTTCTAAATCTATTTTTTTAAATTAATCCTCTTGTGATTTTAAAGAAAAAAATTAGTATTATTATGACACTCTTAAGTTAAAATCGCAGATTCAAGGAATCTGTCTTTGACACACTCGGTTTGTGCCAATATCCCTGTTAATCTGTGCATTTTTCAATTATTCTTTTGACAGTTATTGCTTGGAATTTTCCCCTTTTTTAAAAAAAAAACATATTATTTTTATACAATTCGAAAAAAATAACTTGAATAACTTATATTACAATCGCAAAACCCAAATTTTCTTTTTCAATTTTTTCGCATAGTTATTTTGATTCACTTGGACTTTTACTCAACTGGATTTTAACTTTCAAGGGCTTTTAATGACTTTTAACTTTTATTCAATTACTATATTATCTCACTGTGGTTTTCTATTGGCCTTTTTATGCACTTTTGCTTTTAGCTTGCTTTGTTTTAATGTTTTTTTTAGCTGTTTTAAGTTCTAAATTTTCCATGTGTTTTCATTTGAATTTAGTGTATGGGCCCTACGGGCCATAACCATTACCTTACATACATAGACAAAAGCAATATTTTCTTAATATGTATTTTGTTGAATTCTTATTATTGCTGTTATTCTTAAAATTATGATTAACAATAATGCTTTTTTTAAAAAATGTTTTTTTTCCTTCATTTAAGTAACAAATCCATTATCCAAATGAAACATTGCAGTTCTTAGAAAAAATCACGATATGTCGGGCAATATTGATATCTTTGATGATATATCATGATATTGAAAATTCCAATATTGCTTGCCTTTACAATTAAAAAACTCAAGCGATTTAAGAGTTTGTTTTTAGTCTTACAAAAACAATCAATGCTAGACATAGTAAAAGGAAAGATTTAAAATAATCCCAACTAAGACAAACAAAAATGCCTGTATACACCAGCATAATTTATATTCTACTCTCATGAAGGAGCATTTTGGGATTGTTGACTGTCAAATTGGCTAGTTCCATAGCCTTGAATGAAATTGGAGAAATGGCTTAACCTGATGCTTTCACAAGACTGGTCGTAGGTCCTTAGTCAAAATTCATTAAGAGGTTCTTTCTCAAAAACACAAAAAGTGTAATTTACATATTTTGTGACATTTATTGAAGCCTTTTATAATTTACCCTTTGGTTCTCAAAATATCGATTTTTCTAAGTATATTATTGGTGATCGAAATGGGCTACAGGTGGGACAAAGCAGAGCTCTCTACCTATGGCAACACTTTGCATGTTTTCACCATTAGCGTATGGAGAGTCATGAAAAGGAAGTACATTACTTTCAGTTGCAATTTTCAAGTGGATAAAATCTTAGATCTAAGATTTCTTGGAAGGAAATCTTAGAAATTACTATTGGTTTATTAAATAGGTCTCGTGATTCCCACAAAGAGTAAAGGGAAAAATGTCTTTACTTTTAATTAATGCATACTTGAGTCAAAAATAGATTTAAGGACAGTATGTGAATTTAAAAGTGTGAGAAAGTGTTCCGATTAGAATAATAAAATAAAAGAGAAGGATTTACGGAAAAGATAACATAAAAATATTAATTGAAGATTTTTATGTAACACATATATATATATAAAGTTTTTTTGGGCCACAAAATGTTTGAATCCGCTACTTTTGGAGCTTCCATTCGCTACTTTCTAATATTAAATTCTGGCAACACTGCCATTGGTTGGCACTGGAGAGAAAGGCAGGTAGACTGAATTGCAGCTGTTGTCATGGAAACTGGGTTGCTTTAAGATAGTTGGGAGAATGAGGCAGCAAAAATAGGAGAAAGTGGCTAATATTGGTGTTAAAGAAAACAAAGCGTAGATTTTTAAAAAAAAATTTAGTGAGAATTTTACAAAAATTTTAAGCAAAATACAGAAAAGAGCAAGATTTTTTTTAGAGTATTTATAATAATAATTGATTTGAGATAATAATTGTAAGCTGATTTCTTACTATGATTTTTAAAAATCAGATTTTTCCTATATGATTTTTAAAAAACAGATTTTTTTATTAATATTTTTTAACTAAACGACTAATTTTAAGGGAATTAAAATTATATTTGAAAAGACACAGTTGCTCATAAATACTTTACTTCAGATACTATTTTTTTCTTGTATCCTACCTTTTTTTTTAGTTTTACATATTTTAATTTATCCCACTTGGTGTTTTGTGGGGGAAGGAAATGTCAACATAGGCATGATCATGAAGAAGATCATACACATGTTTTATAATATTTACTGTTCTTTTTTTTTTCTATAAAGAAATCCAATTTTTTCTGTGAAGTTTTTTTATTATAAAAGTAATCATAATTCTGAAATATGTTTGCTTCCTTAAAACAAAAGAACTTACCTAAAAAACCTCTAAAAGAAACTTCTCTATAAGGGAAGATTGCCTTTTTCGTTTCTCGAAAGAAATTCCCAAGTCTTTACAATTCCAATATAAAGCTTAATTTATGGCTATAAAAACAAATTAACAAAAAACAAGCTAAAAGTTAGTAATTAGCAAAAAAAGCAACAAATTTTTTTTAAACGAGAAATTAGAAGAAAAAAAACAATGCGAAAAAAATAACTATAAAGACCAGCTAACATTAAATAAGAAGCAAAAAAATAAATTAACAGTTAATAACTAATATAAACAAAAGAACATTTAAGCGACGTAGGTAAAAGAAATTGAAATAAAGTGCAAAGGCAAGGAGACTTGAGAGAGCTGGCTGACCAGTGCAAAAACATAGCCAACTTGCCAATTCCTAGTCCTCGAAAACTAATTCATTGCCAAACTAAGACACCTCCATCTTTGTACATTCGCTTTCCTGAGAAGGTATTTTTAAGTTAAATACATTTAAACATGATGAAACTTCTAAAACATGTTCAAGATACATATTTTTTATAATACAACATTTATTTATATTTGTACGCACATTTAAGCTGTTATTAATTCCGAAATAGCTAAGAACTACTTTTCAAATGTGTAGTTTTACATTTCCTACCTTTCCCTGCAGTGCCAACTTGAGGTGAAACGAAATATAGGACATATTTTTGAGAAATTTTGGAAAAAGTTGAGAATATTTAAAATGTATATACTTTTAAAAAATTCTCTGCAAAGATTTTTTTATAAAACATCGTGTTAGGAATTTCATTCAAGCCCTCTGCTGCTCTGAGCCCTAGGACAATTATCCCTATTTTTTCTCTCTTTGAGTACAGTTTTGTACTTGCACTGTCTAGAAAACTAATATAAAGTAATATATTGAAGCTGGGGGAGACACTTTTGAGATCCTTCATCATTTACTGTATCCTATTATGTGTATAAAGTTTAATCAAAAGACTGATATTACTTTGTAGGTGAGCCTTTTACACAAAGTGTAAAATTTATGTTTTCAAGGCATCCTATAAGGTTCCCAGATTAATTCTTCATATGTAATAATACTTAATATTTTTTTTTTCTTTTTCAGTCTGGTCTTTGCTACCCCATTATGCTGTGCATTATTTCCACAACAAAGGTAATACTTTTATTTTCTTTCTGAAATATAACTCTATGGTGAGTAAATGTTGTTCAATTTCTACTAAATAAGTTCAGTTTTTTTTTTTTTTTTTTTTTTTTTTTTTGTCTTTTTACAAAATGGTTCAAATATTTAGTTAAAGTACATTATTTGAACAGCTAGTGTCCTGGCCTAAATATCACAACAGGACTCTTAAGGAACAGGGATTTTAGAAAAATATGTAATTGTCAGAGAATTTGGTTTTGGCTTCTCTCTCTCCTTTTTTTTTCTAAAAAATATGGGAAATTTGTATATTTTCGTCAAAACCCACTGACGATTCTGCACCTAAACAGTCGTATATTAACCTACAGTCTTCGCATAGCAAAATCGGTTTTTCTATGTTATTAGATAAGAAAATAATGCATTGGGAAGAAACATACTCCCAATTTTGCCCATCGGCTAATCGTCAGTGGGTTAATAAACCAGGAAATAGACACATAATTGAATTAGTGGTAACATTAAAAGATTTTTTTACGTCTATAACAGTTGAGTTTAGTAAAAAGAGTTCTGAGTGACATTTTAGTGAATTTGAGCAGGGTCACCACTCCACAACGAGAACAGGGAAAACCTGGAAATTACTGGGAATTTAAAAATTGCCTAAAATAACAGGTAAAATGTAGGGAATTTTGAGTTTTTCATTACAAACTGGAAATATACAGGGAATTTTGTTTCTTATTTTGATATTTTAAAAAAAAATGGTAACCACTCTAATGTAAATCTATGGGATATTTAAGAAAGATATTTCAGCTATTAAACTTTTTAATTTACTATAACATTATTTAAGTATGTTCAGCTGTGTATGTTTTTCCAGCAATTAAAATTAGTATAGTTAGCCCAATATAGCTCACACAAGAGCACAGTGATTGTGTGTTTCCTCTTAATATATTGTATATGATATGTACAGAGAGAACACAGGGAATTTTTTTTTCCATATTGGAGTGGTAACCCTGTTGAATTTTTTAGTCTTAAAGTTTTTGTCTCAATTTTTTGTCTCTTCTCTGAATCTCAGAATTTTTTTATTTTCTTATGTGTCTTTAGTTTCAATAGAATTTCGATGATAAAGTATCACCTGACAGCACAATACCTTTGAAATAAAGGGAAAATAAAAACTTCACTAGAAAAATACAGAGATCCCTATCATTAATCATTTATCCGTAATTATTATGGTTTTGTTGTTAAGATTACTGTCTTACTGATTAATAAAAATGACACTTCATGAGAATTTTTCTAATTATCTCTTAAAAGTATTGTTTTTTCCAGATTACCAAGAGTTAGGAAATTTTTCCCTTTACAGCAAAAGTTAAAAAAAAGAAAGTTACTCTTAAGTGTTAAATTTTTTTCTTGAAATCAAATTTATGCATAATATTATTAATATTAGGTATATGCCTATATATAGTTAAGTAGTAAAACCTCTTGAAATCGTTCTAATTTGAATTTTGCGTAGGTTATATGTTTTATTGTACTTCTGATTATGGATTGCAATTTTTGAAAGGTGGCACCTTTTGAAAATAATACTTATAACTTTTAACAGTAAATGATTTTTAGAGCTGTTGTAGATTTTCCTCAAAAGCATGTTGTAATAAAATAACATAACAATTAATATTGGATATCCTGTTGCACACTTTCTGTTTTTAACTTTTTTATACATTACTTTTGTTTTTTTTTTAGATTGAGGAAACCCCAATTTGAATGATGCTTAAAATTCTTTTAAAGTTAACAATTTTAAAACAAAGATATTTATGAAAACTGATAAAATAACATGTTACAAATAACCTTTTTGAAAATGCCTATCGAAAACATCACCCCTTTGTTATTTCATTTGTGATAATCTCTGAGGGGCTCTTAAGATTGAGTAACTGTATTATTAACATTTATTTGTATTAAACGTTAAAATAAATTTGTGACAATACCATCTTCATATGCCTAATAAATCTATATGTCCGTTAAACAATTTAAAAAAACTATGTAAAAAATGAAACTATCATAAAGTTCATATTTCTCATAAACATAGAATATGAATGTTTCATGAAAGTTGATCAAGGAAATTAGTAGTTTCATGAAAGCAGTTTGATGAAATTAGTAGCTACATGAAAGTAGATATTTCATGTACCTATATGGTGTTTTCAATATAAATATAAACAACTACAATCTCGAGCTCTTGACCTGCTGTACTTCCAATTAAAGAGTATACAGCTGCTTACCACAGCTCATTCTGCGAGGCAATATTTTCAAACAGATAATTTTGTTTTTAATAAAAAATAAATTATATAATTTCTCACCTCAAATCTGCTGTATTTCGTAAGATATTAATGAAATTAAGTAATTCTGGTGAGTTTGAAGATAAATTTCTTTTTAGTCATTTAGATTGTTAAAATGGTGACATGGTTGCTAGATTTAGAAAGAACTTTTTGCAGTCCTGATTTGGCCTCTTTTTACTTGTTTATTACTGTTTGTTCTTGATGCAAGCCGTGTACTATCATTAGTTAGTGTTATCATATTGTTCGAGCAGCGAGACTAAGTTCATTTTACAAATTATCATTTAGGTTTAAATTTCAAAGTTAACAAGGTAAAAAGTGTTTTATAACAATTCTTTTTTCAAATGACGATTTCTTTTTCAAGCACAAATAATAAATCGGGTAACCAATACACATATGAAAGAAATACTACTCTAGAGAGTCTCAAAACACAATGATCACATTGTGAGCTAAATGGCTTCAAAATACCACAAAAACCTAGTGTACAAAACTCCACCCATATCCTTAATTTGAATATATTTACTTGTGAGGAAGAGTAAAGGCTATGAGATTTAAAAATTTAGATTTTGAATTTCATAATTACTTTTTATCTAATTTTATTATTGGTAGCATTTTAGTTCTGCTCTACAAGATCAGTTTTGTGATTTTGAATTTTGTTTCAAATGGACAAAGAAAAACTGAGAAATGTACAGCAATTTCACAATAAATAAAATTCAAAACTATCCAAAATAGAAATAACATCACTAGTTTCATGATTTTAAATTATTTGAATATTCACTACCAAAAATATTAAATTACTTTTTGAAAGACACGAGTATGAAAACAATCTGATTTTTCAAAGATGGGAGTATTTTGTACAAAAAAAAATGAACAGAAAAATAAGCTGAAATAAATGACACAAATCATTAAAATCTAATAACTAAGGACTGTTAACAAAAAATCTCTTTAATAGCAAGCATAATCAAGAATAATAATTACAATAGTTGATATTATTTAAGGAAAGTGTAAATTAATTACTTTTATGTTAATTTAAAATTAAATTTATTTAGTATGATTTGCTCATTACATACCGAGAAATACGAATAAAGAAACAAGGGTAATTAATTATTTGAAAATTTTAAAAAGTAAAATCAATACAGTGTAAAGTCGCGTATCCGGAATTGGTGGGACTTCCAGAAGTCTGTATAATAGATTTTTCCGTATAATAGACCCCCAAGGTAAACAAAGCTTAAAATGATTTAATAAACGATCTGAATCTAAGAAGCAAAAAATAAATAAATGTTATTTTTAAGGGGAGCAATGTTTTAGCATTAGAATATCTAATCTATAAAATATGAAATGTTAGAAAAAAAATATTGCTGAAAATATGGAAAACGAAAAAAATTTAACAGTTATGAAAATATTAATCCGCCATTTTGAACTAGAACGATTCAAGCAGGAAGGGGAAATTCATGTCATTCTGGAACAAAGCTTAAAATGATCTAAATCTAAGACGCAAAAAATAAATAAATTTTTTTTTAAGGGGAATAATGCTTTAGTAATAGAATATCTAATCAATAAAATATGAAATATTAGAAAAAAAACATTATTCCTTAAAATATAGAAAACGAAAAAAAATATTATTCCTTAAAATATAGAAAACGAAAAAAAATTGACATATGAAAATAATAATCCGCCATTTTTAACTAGAATGATTCAAGCAAGAAAGGGAAATTCCCGTCATTCATTAAAGTGGATAGGTGGAGGAGAAAAATGCATTTCCTCCTTATTTGTGAAGGAAAATAAGTGTAAAGAAGAGATCATTTATGTTGAGGGTGGGGAAGTAACAAATTATTGTTTTCTCTCCAATCATTGGCTATCAATCAAGCATAAAGGCGGGGCACGCTGATCGGGTTCTCTTTATTTTTTCTTCTATGACTGAAAGAATCTGCTAAAGAGAGAATGTTGCCCCCTTTTCCCCCCGCCTCCTAAATATTGCATGGTATGGGGAAGTCAAGGACGTATATCCTTTTAGACCTATTCAAATTTTCTATTTTGACTCCCCCTCCACCTTAACGCTTGCCCCGTTTACCCTTTTTCACAGTATTTATTCTTTCAATAAAAAGGTTCCAGGAAATGCCTCTTTTACTAGCCACCTGCATGGGAAAGGAGGGGGGGGGACTCAGTTGCGATCTTTTGAAAACAAATATCCCTCTTTTTCCTACATTCCAAGGGAGGAGCGTCACTAACGGTCGCTCAATGGTCTTGGTAGATCTTCACTTCCCCTTTCTGGTGATTTATGGGTTCGATGCGGAAAAGAGAAAATGTGTCAAAAGACTTCTTTTTTTTTTTTTTTAGGGAAAGGGGATGATGGAGAGATGTTTGATTTTTTGATTGTTAAAAAGTGTCCGGGAAAGGGACGTCTGGATATGGGACGTTACACTGTATTAGTCACTAATCTAATAAAATAAACTTTTTATATTTATAGGGAGAATGTATTTTTTTTTAAAAAAATATTTTCCCTTTATAACATATTCTTAACAAAGTAGCGAAAAGAAGAACAAAAATGATAAATTTTGATTTGAAAACTAAATTTTTCTAAATATTATTTAACCGAAGAGTAATAATTAGTTTTATACTTATGATCACTTTAAGTATGAAGTAACTGGGTTGAAACCACAAGTTCATCAATAATAGTTTGGATAAAAATGAAATACTTTTGTAGAAGAAAATATCTTATAAAAATTTTACGATTTTCTAGTGTAATTACTGAATATTCTTGTCCCACTGATTCCTTCTAGAAAATTTTCTCTTTTTCAGAAAAAAAAAATCTTGCTCATTTTTCTGAGAAACCATATGAATTGCTACATATGAGTTTTATGAAAAAGCTAGTGTTGCAATGAAGATTATCAAATGCTTTGCATGAAAATTCAAAGTAAAACAGTACTGACAATACAAAAAATTTATATTTTTCTTTCGTGAAAATGTGTCTTAACTACGTCAACCTATATATCCCTAGAAGAAGAAAAATTGGGTTAAATCATGTTTTCCCTTCAAAATGATAGGGCTCATACTGGCAGAGCTGTAAATTACTTATGAATTATTTGTTTTGAACTGTGTGCTCTCCTAACATATAATTATAAAAAGGAAAAATATATTTATATAAAAGGTCGTACTTTTTTTCCGAACCTAAACAATAAAGAATAAGAGGAAAATTAATATGTAAATGCTTTCACATTGTTTAAAAAATTAATTAGAAAAAAAACTTTGCAAATTAGAAAAGTTTCTCCCTTTGTTAGTATGCTATCCTTTTAAAAGGCATCTTCCTTTGTTTTATTGGATTTAACAAAATAATTTTGTTTTGTGGATTTTTGTTCTTAACAGACTTTAAAAGATAGAGCATTAAACACTTTTTAAAAGATTAAGGGGTTGGCGGGGGTGGGGCTAAAAGGTAGGAAAGAAAGGCTTTACTTAATGAAATTGAGAGTGCTTTATAACTTTCAAAACTGTGCATTTGCCTGTTTTCAGATCTTTCAAGACTTACTTTTATTTTTGCTTAGTTTGAATGACATAAAAAGATTTTTTTGATTTTCTGAAAACAAAAGGAGCACATAAAACAAAAAGAGTTTTTAAAAACTTAAATGCATTCAAGCATGTATTACTAAAATTATCCTTTTCAACATGTTGATCACAGAAATGTTTGAGTATAATTTTTTTTAAATATAATCTAAATATTTTAATTGTCAGACAATCTTTAATTTTATGTTTCAAGCAATTTTGCAAAGCTGCAAGTACACTGGTGGACAAAACTAAGAGATGGAAGACATTTTCCCAAATATCTCAAAAAATACTGAATATAAATAAATGAAACAAGGTTTCTTAATCNAATAAAGTATGCAAAACAAAAATGAAAGTGCCATTCACTGGCAAGACCTATTGCCAATAAATCCAATGTAGTCTGAACTTAAGGATAAAAGATGACAATAAAAGTGAAGCTTGTACAGTGTGTGTTACCTCTAGTATGGTGTATGGTCACCCCTGACAGACAGACAGACAGCATGCACAACGAGTATGCATGCTGTTAATAAGGGAATTAAGGAGGACCTGTGGAAGACCCTCTCATTCTTCCACCAGAGCAATTTTTAACTCCAGAATGGTTCTGGGGGGAGGTTGGTGCATCACAATAGCTCTCCCAAAAGCATCCCAAGCATGTTCAATAGGATTCAGGTCTGGGGATTTGGCTGTCCAATCCATTCGTTGAATATCCTCGCTTTCCAGATACTCATCAACCATGAGAACCCTATGGGGTCGCGCATTGTCGTCCATAAAAATGAATCCAGGGCCAACAGCGCCTCTAAAAAGACGCACATAGGGCTCTAGGACCTCCTGCCTGTATCTCTGGGCAATCACGGAACCATTGTCAAACACATGGAGCGGTGTATGGGTATCTTGCATGATCCCTGCATAATGGTCCCTTTCGATAATGCTGCTGGGTTGGTTCCAGGTTCCCTCCATGTCAATAACCGTCCAGAATCGGGTTGTAAACTGAATCTGGACTCATCGGTGAAGAGAACATTAGCCCATTGAAGCTGTGTCCAATTCTGATGTTGTCTGCACCATTCTGCATGCGCTCTTTTGTGGGAGGGAGTGAGTGGGATGCAAATAACGGGCTTCCTGGCATACAGTCCTCTTTCATGGAGTTTCCTGGAAACTGTCTTACTCGAAATTGATGTTCCTGGCCTTCATTAGCTGTTGTAGCCCTCGGACGACCTTGTCCTGGTCGTCAAGATACTGTCCCACTAGTTTTAAATTACTCCACAAATTGGAAATGACGCTTGGTGTTATATCCAATTCCCTAGCAATCTGAGCTTGGGACTGGCCTGCCTCAAGTCTACCCACAATTCTCCTCCTCATGCCTTCGTCTAAACGATGATGTTCACTTATTTCACCTAAAAACCAGCAAGAAACAAGATTATTCAAAAAATGCACTAAAATCTGTGACTGTGTTGAAGTGTGGAATGAGAAGAACAGCTCGATGCGGACTTTTATGCCTCCTGCTGGCTTAGCAACGCCCACAAGAATACGTTGACTTATCTCAGGGCCAATAGCGCTACAGTGACCATATATGGCAATCAACTGTCCAGGTTTTGTGCAGTATTTTTAGAGAAATGTGCGAAAATGCTTTCTATCTCTTAATTTTGTCTACCAGTGTATATAGAACTCATAAAATACGTTAAAAAGATAGAGAAAACATGGAAAATATTTAAGAATAATGAAAAAAGAAGAAGAAAAAATTATTAAAATAAAATATTTTAAGAAAATTTAAAAAGCTTGAAAAAAAAATAAAAGCATATAATCTCTTCATTGGCTCACTCAAGTATATTCACAAACACGCAATTGTTTTGATTTATTTTGCTTTGGCTATATTGATGCAATATTAGAAAGCTCTCCTTTTTGCAGATGTAATCGTGTGAACTGATGAAGAGATTACATCTTTCATTTTTCTGCTTTTTAATATTTTTTTTAAATATTTTATTTTAACAAATTTTTTTTTCTTCTTTTTTCATTAACCTTTTATATTTTTTATGTTTTCTCTTTATTTTTAACTTAAATAAATATTTAAGAAAAAAACTAATATGTCAAACTGGTTTGATTGTTCAATTTACTAGTTGCTGTTCAATTATTAATTTGTTCTGAATTTTAAAAAAAAACTGTTTCTTACATTTGATTACATGGAATTTGTTGAAACAAATACTAACAATATTTGCAAATTTTTCCTAATTTGTAATTTAGTTTAATTCATAATTTGTAATTTATTTCCTCTTTACTACTGATCTCGCTTATGTGACAAGGTATATAACAAACAAATTCTGATTGTTATAGCTGATAAAATTTGGTAACTTTTCATTAAGTATTTGGATACGTTACTTTTGGTAAGTCTCCATAGTTATAGAATTACAGATGAAAAATAAATCATATTAACTTCAGTTTCTCATTTCATTGTTTATTAATTTTTTTATTTTATTATTTGTTACAGCTCCATTAATGTTGACTCATTAGAGCCAGAAATTCGTGAATCTCTGAATAAATTGAAATTGGAAGATAAATGTTTATACTACAACAAAGGTCTTTAATGTGTTCTTCGAAATATATTGCATTTATAGTCTAAAAACGAAACTGTTGTATTTCTTTGTATTTTATAAATTTATATTTTCCATAGTTCCTAATAAAAATATTATGTGATAAATGAATACACTTGAATGGTGATTAAAATTAATTATACATGTAAAATTATTCCTGTTGTAATCCTGTGTTATATTTGAATTTCATGAAAAGTAATGTCTTTTGCTATTAATTCATTGAAGGATTCTCCTGTTACTGTCTTGCGTTACATTTTATTTATGAAGTTAATCTTTTAGAAACACTAAGTTGTTTTAACAAAATCTGATTGGATGATTATCATCTAACAAGGAACTTTTTCTTCAGCTCATATTTTTTTAAAAGCAAAAAATCAAAGAAGAAAAAAAAACTGCAACCAATTTTGATCACCAAAACTGGAAATTACATGAACAGGAAACTCAATGTGTTTTTATTTTTGTAAAAAAAAAAAACGATGAGTCATTTTAATTCTCCTCAATTGTCTTTTTCATTTTATTAACATTAATTAGCCAAATGGCACGAAAGTCAAATCTTGTATGAAATTTGGAGCAATTTTTGTTTGGAAAAATGAGAACAGATTATCAAATTAGTCAAATCAGTACAATGACTAGTTGAAATCATAATGCAGAGGTAGATTTTAACAGAGAAAGAGAGATAATAAAACGTCTAATAGATGGTTACAAATTTCTGCATCACAAATAGAGAGCGTTGTAATCAATCATAAACATTATGAATATATATCACTTTTGTGTCAGGAAAGTGGTTGGAATGGAAGGCTTGGGAACTTCATCACATTGTTTGTTTTAATGTTAGTCTATTCCCAAGTCAAAATTTTTTATGGTTTTCCATTGATGGACCGATATCATCTTGATGGTAACCATCCTGAATCATTATATTTTTTGGCTGTCACAGTTGTTTCATCCTTGGGTCCGGTTTTCACTTGCCCTCCCCCTCGAGTCAAAGACTCTTATAATTCCTAAGTTCTTAGCTGGTGAACTAGCTTGGCGTGACTTATCACCAAGGGTTTATTGACAATGAAATATATGGAACAAAATGTAGAGAAATGAAGACTCCTAATATTTGATAGGTTCACTTGCAATCTTTTCAGCAAATTTTTAGTTACAAACCATCCAACTTAGAATGGTGGAAGATTTTTAGAAAAAAGAGATAACAAGATCATACACTTAGGATGTTTGAAACTGCATATTCTTATTTTCGAAAATCTTATTAAGTTTTTTAATTTATTACTCATTTTTAAAGGAAATTCTTATTTTCAAAAATATTATTTTTTTTAAGGAAGATTCAATTTTTAATATTGTTATTTTTTGAAAAATGTATTTATTTTTAAAACATTACTTACTATATATTTTTAAAAACATATTTGTTTTTTAAAGTGAATTCGTATTTTATATATATATATATGTATATATATATTTGTAATCTCAAAATTAAAATCTAGTTTTTAAATATGTGATACATTTACATGTCAACATTTTTATTTTTTAAACCTTATTTTACTTTTCTTACTAGTGATTTTTAATTAATTTTATGAAAACACTTATTATAGATGATTACCTCTTCTAATATTATTATTTTTAAAAACCATCATCTCTAATTATGTAAAATGACATAGCTAAATTGAAGTGATAAATTTTAAAAATTATGGTTATTCAAGTTTTTAATCAAATTAATCTTAAAGTTTGATGTACAGTGCCCAATCTAAAAAAAAACTACACACTGAATACCTCTTGATCTGAGGGTTTTAGACAGTGGTGTAAACCATAAACCCTCAACCCCCTCGGAGGGGGGGGGGCGTATGATCCAAAAATGATACCCTATGATAGGGGTGCCCAATTTGCGGCCCAGGGCAGGACCAGAATACAGTAAGAAAATTGTAATTTTGGGGGGGAAGTACAAAAAGTATTTGAAATTTCGAATTGCGCATTTTTAATAAGCCAATTCTAAAATCAATGTAATCTTGTGATCGCGTTTTTCGGTGGTTATCACAACAAATTTCTGACGAACGAAGTTTTAAAAATCGCAATATTTTTATTTCGAAAAAATAAGGATACGTGAATTTGAGCTATTAATAAAGCTCTTTATTTGTGTACAGTTTATTATAGTTCATCTAAATGACTTTTCGATCGTGTCCACGCTTTTTGAAATCCCGATGTTTTTAATGCATACATTATAACCAAATTTAATATCTTAAAAAAACAAAAGCAATTTATTACTCAAATTTCCTTTTCCTGAATTAAGAAAATTGTACTACTTAAATTATGCTGAATCCCCGTTCTTCGTACGAGGTGAATTAAAAATTTAAAAAAAAAACAATCAGTACTGAACAGCACTGCAAAATCATGCACAAATCTGAAACGCGAATACTGACCCTATTGAAGAGCTTAGTGGAAGAACCAGGTATGTGACATTCTTAGGGATATTTATGAATCGAGGGGAAATAACGAGGTGGTTGCCTCATTATGGGTAAGTTAAATGTAGCAGAATTGTTTTTGCTTTTACTTTAATCTAAACATAACTTATTTTATAACTGTCGTCAGCCGACCCAATTTTCGGTTTACGCCTGCTAATATTCAACTCCGTAACCTAGTAATTTTGAGCCCAACACAAAACGAAAGAGTTCCTGTATCAAACTAGCTTTCGTGGAAAACTTTTTAATGAAAGAAACCCTCATTTTTGTTATATGGAGTAGTAAACCTCCCACAGTTAATCTGACGGCAAGAGAACTCTAACCCATTATCCTCTACCACTGAGGATATTTTACTGTAGCCGGTGCGAGCCTGGTGTGGAATTCCTATAGATTAACTACACTTAACATCACTTGCCTTGATGCTATTTCTCGCGGCTAACTCATAGTCAAAATTTACTGCTATCAAGTAAATTTCTCCGGTACATATGTATATACCTTTCAATAGTCAGTCAGACACTTATTTCCACAGTATCGATATTGAAACTGCATATAGTTTTAATATTTGGTGATTATTTAAACATTAAAGTACGTGCTATAGACTCTTTTCTTGATCAAATAGAACTGTAAGCAAGCACTTTTTAAATAAGGATGAAGTGTTCTAACCATTTTTATTATTTTTTTACTAGGGACTATTATATTACATTATTGTATTAACATTTTCAGTCTTTGGGGGCTTTATGGAAATTTAAAATTTTCATCTTAAATTTAAATTTATACTATTAAAATTATTTTAACTTTAATGAATGTGTTAAGCAATATAATTTCTTTAAATCTTGTAAAAATATGAAAAAATTATAAAAAAAAACTAATTTTATAGACACTTTTTTAGCAATTAATATGCGGACCGAAAAAAAAATAGCAAATGAGCGATTTTAAAGAGCATAAGATTTGATTCTAATTCACTAAGTCTAAACAAACAAAGAATATTCCAAAATGATGCTTTTAATAAATATTTCGCATCTTTGTTACACATAGAACTGAAAATTTGTGATTGAAAATTTATTTTTGAGTAATAAAAAAGAATTCTGATGCATCAGTATGTAATATCTAATACATCAGTATCAGGGACAATCCCCACGCCATATAAATTAAATAAATACAGGGTTGCCACAGGAGACTAAAATGCAACTATTTTTGGCATGAGGCGACTCGACTAGGGCAATTTTTTTTGCCTGAAAAGGCTAAAAAAGCAACTATTTTCAGGAAAAGGAGACAATTGGGAGACTTTTCTGTACTCCTAGCGATGTTTTTTTTTCTTCTTTTTTTTTCCTTAAGCATAAATTGTCTGGAAAATCTGCACCCCACAAGATAGTTTCTGAACACACTAAACTTTCTTTTTTCCTTAAAAAAATTTGAATTGCAAATTTGAGTCTTCACTTTTTAATTCGTTCAATCTGCACAGACTCCATAGTGAGTCTATTTCATTTCTCGATCGCCTTTTCAATGATTATTGCTACGAAATTCCGCATGATTTTTNAAAAAAAAAAAAAAAAAAAAAAAAAAATTTTAATATGGTATTACGATGCGTGAATTTCGAATTTGAGTAATCACTTTTCTTATATATGGGTGATTCTTTTTAAACATGACAATTGGGACCAAAACATTTCTTCAAATTTAAAGTCTTCAAAATGATCTAAAATTTTTTTTTTTATACTTCTTTAGTTACACTTATTAATATCTTACAGACAGCAGTGTAGTTTATTGACATTTGCTCGAGAAAAAAAATAAAATAGAAATTCGCCAAATCTTGAATGCCAGGAAAATGACATATTAGCTTAGAAGTATAAAAAACAGTAAATCAATAAGTAAATAACTTTGATTGCATCCAAGCATATTACTTACATTCATACATAAACTTGGTATTAGATTAATATTTGCTTTCCTTCCTTACAGTATTAGCAGTTAAAAAAAAATTCTGGTAACACTTCAATGTCCTGGCATTCATAAGCCAGGAAAATGACAGCCAGGATAATGACAAATTCGCCGTTTTATAGCATATAATTTTAATTTTATATTTTGACTTAAGACGTTTATATTCTGCAGAAAACAACAGGATTTCTTAAAATAACTCTGATAAATTTATGTAGTTTATATTATTAATGATTTCAAGAAGCCAGGAAAATGACAACACAAAAACCTACTCACCCTGAAAGATTTTTGAAATAGATTTTGACCCAGAAAAATTGGTTCTTTATTCATGCAACAAGACATGTTCATATAGGAGGGTATCTAATCGATCTATTTACGTAAGATATTTATTGCTGACTCTATCTATTTTGGTTATAAACCACTAAATAAAAGTAGCCAGGAAAATGACAGATTTTCTTGGGACGAGCAGATTATTAACAGAAAAAAATTATTTTAACGAATTTTTTGTAAATAATACCCTCTGCGTATATTCTAGAAATGCTTACAAAGGTTGAGATAAAAAAAAAATTAGATATTGAAAAATTTATGGGAAATTTTGAAGCTGGTTATTATTGGAAACATTGTTTGGGACATGCCAGGAAAATGACATTTTGATATTCAATTAAATTTTTTAACTATACAAAACGGTCAATGCTAGTGTTCTTTTAGTATTATAGTATTAGATCTTGGAGCAAA